GGTCATTGAACATTCAAAAGAGAACCTTGAACATAAAGAAGATGCGGAAGAAGAGCCACAACCGACTGACGTTACAGTACACGCACTAGCCGGCTACTCAAACCCACAAACGATGAAAGTTGGAGGCCTTCTCAAACAACAACCGATCACTGTTCTCATCGACACGGGCAGTACTACTAACTTTCTAAATAGTAAGCTTGCTGTTCGGATAGCATTACCTATCGAGAATCGCTGCAGGTTTGATGTTAAGGTCACCGACGGACGGAATTTGAATTGTGATCGTAGGCGCCCGCAGGAGAAACTATTGCTGTAGGACCAAGAGATAATTGTAGATTTCTTCCTTCTCCCTCTTAACAATCATGAGGCCATGCTCAGAATTAAATGATTGACGACATTAGGTGATATTTCCTGAAATTTTATGAAACTAATTATGAAATTTTACAGTAAGGAGAAACAAGTGACATTGCACGGGAAACATGGGGGCGACATAACAACGATTTGGACACAACAAATGGAGAAGGTTTTGCATAAAGTATGCAGCGGCTTTTTGGTACAACTTGAGCAGCAAACTAAGGGAGAGCCAACAGAATTTGAAGATCCAAATCTACTTCCTTTGCTTGCTGAATTTTCAAATATATTTGACGAACCGCGCAACCTACCTCTTACCCGTCGGCATGATCATTGTATAATGATCCTTCTAGGCAAATCTTCAGCAAATGCTCAGCTATATCAGTATCCACATCTCCAGAAGGATGAAATAGAAAGGATTGTAAAAGAGATGCTCGAAACAGGAGTTATTCGGCCAAGTTACAACCTCTACTCTTCACCGGTGCTACTTGTACGCAAAAAGGACGGAACAAGGCGATTATGTGTTGATTACCGAGCTCTCAATGGCATAACCATCAAGGATAAATACCCTATCGTAGATGAATTGCTAGATAAAGGGAGCACAAATCTTCATAAAGCTGGACCTTCGATCCAGGTATCATCAAATACGAGTATGCGAAGAAGACATACCGAAAACCACCTTTTGAACACACAACAACCATTATGATTTTTTACTTTTTTCCAAAAGAAAGTGGAATATCTTGGGCATATCATATCAGAGGAAGGTGTGACAATAGACCCCTTCAAAATTGGAGCAATACAAAATTGGCTGACCCCAAGAAACATAAAATTGCTACATGACTTTTTGGGTTTAACAGGCTACTACTGCAAGTTCGTGAAAAACTATGGAGAGATCAGTGCACCACTTACTTCCTTACTGAAAAAAGATGTCTTCCAATGGTCGGACAGAGCCTCCGCTGCCTTCGACAAACTTAAGGCAGCCATGACGACGACGCCGGTGCTAACACTACCAGATTTTAACCGACCCTTCATTATTGAGGCCGACGCATCTGGAGTTGGATTTGGAGCCATTCTCATGCAAGATGGTCGACCACTCGCATACACTAGCAAGGCATTATCTCCCTCACATCAAAATAAGTCAACATATGATAAGAAGATGCTCGTCATTGTGTGCGCAGCAACGAGGTGAGGACCCTACTTGATTAGTCGACGATTTTAAATTAAAACCGACCATAAAAACCTCAAGTACTTTTTGAAACGAAAGATATAATCCCCTGAGCAGCAAAAATGAGTAACAAAACTTCTTGGATTTGATTATGAAATAACTTACAAAAAGGGGAAAGAGAATGTTCTTGCAGATGCACTTTTGCAGCTACCCGAGCAAGTTGAAGTTTCGACCGTTCACTTCCGACCAGCGACTTCCTTGAGGATATTAAGATGGAATGACAAGAAGATTCATATACTAGTAAGATTAAAAAAAAATTGGAGGAAGCACCAAGCCCCATGGCTCATTACAATTGGGACTCAAAAGAATTACACTATAAGGGACGCATTGTGCTTATGATAAATTCTACTTGCATCTTCACGAGCAGATTTTGGACAAAATTATTCCATATGTAGGGTACTAAATTGAAAAGGAGTACGACATATCACCTACAAACCGACGGCCAGACGGAAGTTGTAAATAGGTTCTTGGAGACAGCCCAAAGCCACCCATCAATTATGACTACCCAAGGAGAACTTCAGACCCAGCCAAGTGCCATTATTGATCGACGGATCGTGACTCGACGACGACGATCCACTACTGAATTGCTAATACAGTGAGCAAACCTACTGACATAAGATGCCACTTAGGAGAACTATGATTACTTGAAGATCAAATTCCCAAAATTCATAAATCGTCAACCTCGAGGACAAGGCTGATTTGAAGAGGGCGGGTCTGTTAGGACTCTAGCTAGGAGAGTCCTAATTGAGAGGGACATTCATGTAAAACCTACCTAAGCCGACTCATATTAAAGATGTGAAGAGGCCGGCTAGGGTTAGGAGGTTATTTCTTAGAGAAGAATAGGAAGTTGTAAAGGAATAGAAGTCTTGAGTAGGAGTCCTATTAGGAGTTTGTTAGAAGTAGGAGTCTTGAGTAGGAGTCATATTAGGAATTGATTAGAAGTAGGAGTCTTAAGTAAGAGTCCTATTAGGAGTTAGGATTTAGAAGCCCTATAAATAGTCATATATTCCACCTATTTTCATAAACAATAGATGAATCTTTTCTACAGCCTTTGAGCAGCAACTTAGAGGGAGGAACCCCTATAGAGTTCCAAGGAGGTCGATCCCCTAAAGAGATCAACCCCAAGTTTAGAATATGCAAGGGTTCTAACAAATCCCCATTTGAGAAAAAGGAAAAAAGATTATATGATATACAAGTAATAGACTAACAAACAAGAGACAAAATGCATTAAGCATGAGATAAAACACCTAAATATTAAACCACCGTCATAATATCTTCCTTTCAGGTTGACTAGTATATTTGCAGCATCATCCTCATCCCTGAATTTAGCATATACATTACCAACCTGTAAATGAGGCTGAAGCGTGTCAGACAACACAGAAAAAAGGTAAAAATAATGTAAACCAAAACAATCATCATTATCTTGGATGTTGAATACCAAATGATCAGCCAGATTGTCACAAACATTTAGGCTTTCAATTTTTCTGAACTTGCTTAGCTCCTCAAAAACACCCTGATAAAAATTCTGCCAACAAAAAACTTTATTAAGATCACAGGTACCAACAAATGATAAAAAAGTGAAACCAGCAGAAACTATACAAAAAATAGCAAGATATGTCCTTGATCATTACCACTTGTTGCCACAGAATGCTTTTGTCATAAGAAACATGCAGTAAGTATCCAAAACATTAATAATTTCAATTATGTGAGATTATCTACTTAAGGTAAATCTACGGTACCATCTCAAGAAAACTGCAAAATGCATCCAAGAGAAATGATCAGGCTTTTCTATTGATTTTGTTGGTTAAGCATCTTTAAGATATTTAAATCTATGCAGAGACAAAGAACAAGGTTTCAACATCAAAACCAAGCACTTGCTTCTAATATCTAGGCAGAGAAACCCCATTACACCTGCTCATGAAAATCAACTAAATAACAAAGACAGATTTCCACATCCTCCCAGCCAAACATTATTATATATTTACCCATGGCACAAAGCTAACGATCGTTCTTTTGGGATAACTTCTATATTCCACAATCTCTATTTGTAGCTCCTAATGATCATCTACAACATTGTTTTTAAAAGGGCTAGGTCCCAAAACACCCGAGAAGCAAGACGAGCTCAAACGAAGTGAGACACACTCGAATATTAAAATTTAAAATATATATTACGATTGATAAATATGAAAAAAAAATGACACATAAAACTGGAATTACCAAATTAAACTCCTAATAGTGTTTTCAATATGGTGCTAAACAATTTTAACTCATAACAGAGTAATAATGCACCACCTCAATATGAGCAAGTCAATTGAAATAAGAAAGAGTGGACAAAGAAGAGAAGAGAACCGACGATCGTGGAGGAAGGTGCCAGAAGAAGGGGGTAGTGGACAAAGCTACAATGGTGAATAGACACAGGTAGTGGACAAAGCATACGAAGGTGACAAATAAAGCGGATGAAGGCGACAAACAAGGTTGCCGAGAATGGCGAATGGAGCATACGAAGGCGACAAACATAGGGTTTGATTGAACCAACTTACGCATCCAATCAACCCAGGCTTGAAGTCGAACCGGTTTGGCTCAGGCATTCGCCTAAGGCACCTGACGAATGGGCTCAAGTGAGCACTCAAGCAGCACTTGATTGAAACGCCTCACCTAAATGCCTAAGCGAGTACCCTAATGCCTTTTGAAAACACTAATCTACAGAATACTTAACTAACATGTACTTCATAGATATTCACTGCATTCCTTCTGGGCACTACTAACTAATAGTCAAAATGGAAAATCTTAATCACCGCAAACACATACATAATAACTTATAGCCGTGATGTTCCCTTATTCTTCCCGATGTTGCTTAATCAAATCAGTATAAATAGGAATGACCCTATTTAGTTTGTTTTTATATCTAAAACTGCAAATATCTGCCATTTCATCATAATTCTGGGGGTACTGCACATATTAGGTGATTAAGCATAGCATTGTATCTTAAGTGAACGAACCCTAGGATGAAGCATGTTGCAAATCTGAATATCCAGAACCTGAAAATTTCAGCAGAACATCTATTAACATTATTTGGTATATCTTGAAACACTTCATGACCCTTGCAACCAATCTACTCCCTAATATGTTTCCATGAAGTCAGTATCTATGAAATCCATGATCAATTCTTCAAAGTGCCTGAACTTTTTTCCCCAAAATACATCAGAACAAGCATTACGTACTACCCAACAATTAAAGAACATCCTTCCACATAGGAATTATAACATAAAGAAGCAAAAGAAAATCCTAACAGTATCACTAATGTAAATCTCAGGAGATCATCAGTTAACATAATTTGGTACATCTTGAACCACTTTGTAACCTTTGCAACCGATCTACCCCCTATTGTTTCCATTAAAGTCAATAATTAAGAAATCCATGATCAATTTTTTGAAGTGTCGTGCTGTTTCTTCCCCCATAAACATTACTACAAGCATTATACCTGCATTATTTCCATATAGGGAGATAACGAAAAGAAATATTGACGAATAAGATAAGAGAAGATGCGTATCTTTAGATCAACAGAAGAAGAATAAGAAGATGATAGATAGATGGTAAGAGGGACCTCGAAGTGCTCCTGGATCTAGATCACCCTTCTGAAGAGGAGGGTGGAAGAAGGAAACCCTAGGGGAAGTCCAGAACGCTAAAAATGGCTAAAGAGGAGACGCGCTCGATCGCGGGAATTGCTTGATACCTTGGGGGAGGGCCAATTTATAGCCTGAGAGGGAGAGGGGATTCGTAATTATGACATGGGGTGGGATCATTGACCTTTTTAGTACTGCGGTATATGTACTTCAGACATTTAGACGGGGATTTATGAAAGTAAAATAATTTATTTTATTTTGTTAACATCGTTTATTATACTGATAGAAAACGTTGCACATGATATTAACACTAAATCGATAGGCAAAATGATTGATTTTTATTTTTTATTTTTATTTTTACTCAAATTAAATTTTGCTAGTCGACTCCAACGAATTCTCGTTAGACAAGGACACCATTATTTTCTAGAAAGTTTTATCGGATTTCTTAAACCATTATGAGGTTCTTAAGCACTATAGTGATGATTATAGTGATGATGGCTTGACCGAAGGTATTCTAGTGCCATAGATTTCAAGGAGGGCTATGATCCGTCATGGAACCTGATGATTATTATGTTTTTCTTAATTAGCGTTAGGGTTTGAAGGATCACTCAGGCCTTCTCCTCTGCACCTCCCTCAAACTCTAGGACACATAAGAGGTGGTTGAGGAAGGACAGGCCCTCTACTAGTAGGAGGTGGTGGCAACTCTCCATAGCTGAGACCCTTGTGATTGTTGTTGCGGCCTTCTCCCTCATCTCATGACAAGAGGTGGTACTAGTGCTGGAGTCGAGGAGACTTAGTAGCACCAGTACCAACTCGTTGGCAATGACAAATATGATGTTCTTGTCATCCTCGTAGACCTAAAGTGGAGCTCTCAATTTGGAAGCTAGTCACGAGGCTTATTGCCTTCACCTTGATGGACTCATGGCAGGAGCTCCAACCTATCACCTTTGGCGATGGGTCGAGGAGGGTGCTAGAGCTGAGCAAAAGTTTGGTATTAGTGGCTAACTAGTGAAGGGTCTAGGAGGCGTCTAGGACATTGCTTTGGGTGCATACCCTAGCAACAAGAGGGTCAAGAGAACAATAATGGATAGTGATGATGAGATCTAAGGGTGAGGGAACAAAGGAGGGGTACGAGTCGACTTTACTGGCCACCAAGGAGAACTCATTATAGTGGATCTGTAGAGGCCAACAAGGCCCTCTAGTTGCTCTAGATTTTTGATCAAATTAAAGTTGATTAACAAAAGGAAATAAAAAATTAAAATAATTATTTTGTCCATCGATTGGCGACAATCAAACACGTGATATTACTTGTTATATCTTTCGTCGGTGCAGCTAATGATATTAGGAAAAATAAAATATATTATTTTATTTTCATAATTATGAGGATCTAATATAAAATTTTAAGGTACAAGGACCACAATGCTAAGAGGGTCAAAGGACAAGAGCTAATATGTAATTAGTCGACTTTGAGAATATCATTAGAAGTTAATATTAGGAACGAGTCGGCACTAAGAGAGGGGGTGAATTAGTACAGCGGTAAAAATTATGTCGGTTCAAAAAATTTTCGTACGATAAAATCTGATTTCTACGAAAATCGTTTCGTAAAAGTAATAACTTTGAAAGTGTACAGAGTGTAGGCATAGTAAAAGCACAATAAGAAGAAGAGACAGTTTGCTTATAAAAGTAAATTGCAAGAAGTAAAGGCAAACCATATTTTTATAGTGGTTCGGTCGTCGTGACCTACATCCACTTCGTCGATTCCTCTTCCGTCGAGGCAACCGGCATCCACTATCAATCTTCCTTTAATCGGCGAAGATCAACCTCCTTCTTACACCCCTCTTCTCCTTTTACCGGGTTTAGGAGACAACCCTCACAAGCATACACACTCCTTTCTAAATAGAATTCTAAAGTTAGATCTAAAGGAGGGATTTCTCAAGTAATTTCTAGTGTTTTCTCACTTTAAAACTCTATGTGCTTGTGTTTGTTAACCAGGGATGAGAGGGGTATTTATAGGCTTCAAGTTGATTCAAACTTGGAGCCTAAAAAGGTCTCATCCCAGGTTTCCTGGGTACTGGCGGTACCACCGCTGGCAGCATTGCTACCGGCGGTACCACTGCCTAGATTTCCTGAGGTGATGTTCCCCAAGCGGTGCCACCATTGGCCAAGGTTTCAACACCCTGGTTGGGCCTTGAATCCGGCCCAAACCAGCCCACCTTCGGGCCCAGTTAGCCCATAATAGAGTTGATGGGATTACCTCCCAATCACAACTCTAATTATGTGTTAACTACGATTCCTAAGACATAATCTAAGCAAGATAAGTCTGGTTTCTTCCGGCGAGCTTACGGTGATCTTCCGACAAATTTTCGATGATCTCTCGACAATGTTCCGACGGACTCTCGATAAGCTTCTGGACTTCACGACGATCTTCTTGGCAAGTTCCGACAAGCTTCTTTAGCAAGCTCTAGGACTTCTCGGTTAATTCCGGCAGAACTTTCGATGAACTCCGAACTTCCGACAAATTCTCGAACTCCCAACGAAATCGCGTTCTTGACTCCGGGACTTCATTTTGCTTTATACCTTGCTATCGTAGTTAATCTTGCACACATAAAAATACACTTCGATCTAGACAATTATTACTAAGCATGAATCATGTTGTCCGGCATGTCATTGGTCCATCGATGCTTCGTCCGATTCTTCGGCGCATCGTCCTCTCTTGCGGCCTATTGCCCAATTGGCTAATTGACCTCCTCAACTCCGATATCCTTGGCGCAATATCCGCTCTACTTAGCCCGATGCCTAAATCCATGGCCCGAAGCCTTTTGTCGATACGTCGACCGATTCTTCGGCCTGACGTCCAATCTTCTGACATGTTTCTCTGGCCCAACATGATTCTTCCTACTTTAGTTGTCTCTCCTTGATCAAAGCACCCTGCGTCACTCAAAACGCAGATTAAATCATAAACACTTATCAATTGGTTTCATCATCAAAATCCGAGATTTCACAATTAATTAGTCATAATTATCTTTAGTTAGACTTAACGTAACATTCAAAAAATTCTCCAAACATGGTGTTTTCCACCTAATATTGTTGCCAAAAAAAAATTATTGTGATAAAAAAACAACAATATGACATGGAGGGGGATTGGTATGGGAATAAACTGGCCAGAATTATCTTTAATGACGCTTGTCACCTTCAAATTGTCGCCAAAACATAGTGTTTTACACGCATCATAGTTTTAAAAGATCGTTGGAGAAAAAATGTTGCAAGAATTGATCTTTCGTACACATGATTGTAAAGAAAGATATTGTTGCACAAAACAATCGTTGCCAGAAAAGTTGTTGCTTAAAAATATATAATTTGACATGGAGTATGTACGAATCGCTGTAAACAAAACTGTTGCGGAAAACCTTGTTGCAAGGGATGGGGAAAACATTATTTGCAAGATTTGATCTTTTGTACCGTCATTGTTCTCAGTTGTCTGCATCATTGTAAAAAATTGTTGCACAAAACAATTGTTGCCAAAAAGAAATTATTGCAAAAAAAAATTAATTTGACAGGATTGGAAGTCTGATTGGGAATAAATTGCTCATAATTATATATTTTTTTAAAAGATAAATATCCAAACTAACCGATACTTATTTAATTCCTCTGATACTAAATATGTATAGATTAAGTTCTATTGATTATTTATTCAGCTCTCAATTTAAATGTTACCCTTTGACTAAGTCAAAGGATAAGTCTAGCTCTAAGCTTGACATATTTGAGTATAGAATATATTCTAACCATATTCTTATTCAATAAATCTGGCCTTAGATAATCCAATTAAATCAAGAAGTATATCAAAACTTAATTCCTTAACGTA